TCAGACTGTCGAACTTCCAGACTTCATACTCATGCCCAGTTTCGGAGTGTCGTAACTTCGTCGGTCCCTGCTGCTTTGCACATCGCGAAACCCAATGAAGCGGGATTTTTGAGGAGGGCTTTTGGCCTTTCAGTGCAATATTGCTCTAAGCTCTCGCACCTGTCAAACTCTATAGGATGCGTCCTTCAAGTTCCTCGAGCACCATGACCTACATCCAGTCGTATCCAATACTCCCCTGCATTGAAAACAGACTCATGTTGTCGTAGTCGATGATGCTACGGAGTCTGTGGGCGATAGCTATGAGTGCTTTCCGAAAATGTGCTGGGGAAATCTGCACCGCCTATACGAGTGCAAAGATCCCAATGATTATGAAAGCGAACACAGCGTACGATGTCAGCATCTTCGTATTCACCGAAGACGTCGATAGCAGCGGACCGCAGCGTTGGATCCTCTGACAAAAAAAATCAAGAGCTGTTGTACGTATTCAAGATCTTTTGTTCTACTCACACGCGATAATGGGAAAACTGCGGCGGAATTCAGTCAAGTTCCGAGTCAGCGAAGCTATGTGGAATCTCGATGTCGTCGATGAGTAGTTTCCCCGAGCTGGCCGGAAAAACGAAAGCTTAAGAGCGAGAGTAGAGCGAGCGAGCCCCATGTATGTCCTACCACCAGACATAGAACTCCTCTTAAGTGCAACCGATTCATGAAGGTCTGATAATGCAGACAGCCCAATTCACGCAGGCAAAGGCTGGCATGCGCCGCGGCTGACAGGCAGTCTCGTAGTTCCCGAACGGTCGGAAGAGCGCTTTGCTCGAGACCGTGACGGATGAGGCGCTGTTTCCACCTGGTAGGACGTTTTTTTTTTTGGCACGCTATAGCATTCAACCGGGATTGTCGCATTGGGGTACGAGTACTAGGAAGCCAGGAAGAAGCCAGAGAAGCTGAGACGATGAGAGTCAGGAACTTGAAGGCCCGTCGAAGCACCGCCACACGCTTTCTGCAGCCAACACCCATGTCGCGTCCTTACCACCTTGCAGAAAGCATCGAGGTACAGCTATTGAGAAAAGCGCAGCGCCAGGCCCGTACCACCCAGTTCCGGCAGCAAACCCTCATCGAAAAATCGACACACATCTCGCAAGTGCTTTTGCAGCAGCATCGCATGCGAAAATTGGACTCTCTTGTCGGAGATGTGCACCGTAACGCGCAGTCGTTCCGACAACGCGGGGTGGGGGCGGGAGAGGGGGATGTCGCTCCTTACCAGGCTGCACTCGACAGAATTAAGGCGGAGAAGGTGGCGCTGGACAAGGCGAGTGACAGACGTGCTGGTGGCACGATCGGGGTCTGGCGGGAGAAGACCCGACTGATAACCGCTCAACCCGCCAAGCGATATGGTCGTCCCACTCCTGAAGATGAAGTGGTACTACCGAGGTCCGGGAGGGCGATCCGGGAAATAGAGGATGAGGGTGGTCGTGTCGCATCGGGGCGGGAGCACGGCGGCCACTCGCGAAGGAAGGCAGAGAATGTGAACGACCAGCACAGCGACATACGCAGCGCCCATCTTCCCGATGTAAGCAGCAAATGATACCCCCGCGCGATTATGGACAGGTGAGCCTTTCGCCAACGTCGCGCGATCCCAGACGCTTATGTATTCCTCAATTTCAATTATCGCAGCTGCATCATGACCGACCCTGCCCCAAGGGGCGTCGAATGCGACGAGCGCGATAACCTCCAGTTGTTCCCGAGCCCTCGCCTTGGAGGAATCGATGGGCGCTTACGCCCCGGGGTGGGAGGCGGCCGGACGCAGGGCGGACGTGATATTCACATCTGCCAGCTGAACGGTGCGAGGATTTGGAGTCCTTGACCACGGCTTCGGCCACCAAGTACGGGAATGCTATCGGGAGAATCATGATGCATTCTGTGTTGAAGCTGCGAATATACTATCTTCTTGTCAGTCCAGACGAGTTTTCTCTTGGAACCGTTGGTACGTCCAGCGGTCTCATTTTTGTTCTCACTTCAATATTCAGACGCTGTTGCCGGCCCTCCTTGCGCATGCGCCTTCGGGCATCTTCATTTCGGCCCAGCGGCCGGAGTCGCTGTTGCTGCGCAATCTATGCGAAGTCTAGCCCAACGCTTCAGTCAGTCTCATGCAAGTCTCATGGCATAATCCTTCGAGATTCTGCACTACCCGCGCCAGCGACGGTCAGATAGCTACGCGGACGCCGTACGCGGCAGGCTGGCAACAATGGAAGAGATTGGAAAGTGGCCGGAACTCTGAGATAATTTGGTGTCTACCGGATACCGTCGACAGTCTTGAGCTTTTTGAGCTCAATTTTTCCCAGTCTCCACACTCCCGTTCTCTCCTGTGGTGGCAAAAGACAAAGGTTCCGCGGAGCCAAATGGAGGTGCATCAGATCGGACCCACTTGTGGACAGTGGTTGCTTGCTGGTTGACGAACCCACAACCGGTTGCCGGTTGGTCGGATACAGCCCTATGACAGAGCCTTAGCAACTTGGACTCAACCACCAGGTGAGGACTAACCACTCATGCCTTTGCTTCTGGACTTTTCACCCGAGCTCGTTACCCATATTCTGGACCAGCTCGCGCCGGATTCGCCCTCTCTGGATGCTCTATGTCTTGTTGGAAACCACACCCTCCTCGCGTTGACGCGCCCGTACACATGGATTGAGGTCAACATGACCTTGGGAGCAGAGCCCCGAGCCAGCTTTCGTACGGCCAAGCGACTCGCAGCGTTCCTCGCTGACCCAGTCAAGGCCGGTACCGTCCGCGCCTTGAACATCACCCTCATTGGCCCATACATTTCCGGGATGTATGCGGTTCGAGTATTGATCGACAACCTGGCGGCCCTCACCAATGTGACGCACTGCTCGCTTTGCTGTATCCGCAGTCGTAATATATTCGGGTGGGACACTCCGGGCCGTCTTATCAGGAACATCGTCGAGTATTTGCCCTCGTTGCTCAGCATCGAGGTGGTTGGATGCAATGCCAATCTTGAAACGGAATTGGAGGGTATGGAAGTCTATCGGGCCGAGTCTGACCCTCCTCTCCCAGCCCCGAGATTGATCCATGTCGCTACACGGTTCTGCGATCCACTTCTTGGTGAAATTTGGCGGCAATGTCCGAACGTACGAGTTGTGGAGATGGAAGGGGGAGACCCGGAAGAATTCTGGCGCAGCCAAGTGGTCGCCATTGTCATCGAACCGACCACCAAAAACTCGTCAGCAGATGAGGTTCAAATCTCACGATCGTTACAAAAATTCTGGGGTAAGCAGATGCTCTTTCTTTTGTCGTTATGCCTTCTGATGTCTGTGTCGGGCAGGATACACTGGGACAGAGACAGGAATCTATTCTATTGTCAGCCACGATATCGTTGACGCCGTAGAGAAGATTAATGTCAAGGTTCACCCCACTGTCCACTCGAGCGACGATTTGTCCAGCGATATCTACTGTGTGGCGGAGTTCTTTCGGATGGTGCGTTCATCTTGCGGGGCCATCGATCATCTGAATTTACGCATCTTCAGAACGCGGGAAATTGCTGTAGTGATCTCAAAGAATTCGTCCTCCACATGGGCTTCGATGTCGAAAGATATCGCGAAATTCTAAATGGTTTCCGTTCCCCGTCGATCCAGCGACTTGCGCTGGTCCTGACATTCGGCGACCACTGGGTCGCGTCGGAGTTTGATGACTTTCTTCTCGATATGAAAACCGAGCAACAAGGCAACGCAGATGTCCCTTTTTTCGCCAAATGCTCATCACTCAGCGAGTTTTTCCTGCCGTGCGGCAGTCTCTCCGATGACTCGACGGTGCAATTCTCGTCCCCAATCCCGTTCAACTTACTGACAATCTACAGGCCCTTCTCGCCGAACTTCTTTCTCATGCGCCAGCGCTGCAGCATTTATACTTCGACACGGCGGATGAGTCGGATGACCTCCGAGCCATAGCCCTCAAGTACGCCGAGATTGTTTCGACTCTCGAATCTGTTTCTTGGAAAAACCAAGCCACTTTTAAAGTGGATCGTCGGGATGGGGCGAACGTGACGCGGAAAACGTACAGTCCGCCGGTGTGGCTCGAGTGGAGAGGTATCGGAAAGTGGTGGGAAATTTGACGTGGCCAGGTCTGCGAGCCTGTTCATGCATGGGAGGAAATCGAACCAGCTCCAGAAGTACGCAAATTTGTAAAGGGGGGAGGGGGGGTTCAAAAGGTTTGGAGCACCAGACTCATGCCGACCATAAACGCTTCCGCTTCACCATCCTCAATTCCGTGGAATTGGAAGCTCCCGTTGTGTCCCACTCACTACACCTCCACCTCGACAGTGACTCCAACATTCGACTCGAAACTATTTGTCGCGGAAAGAGAGAAATAAATTTGAGTCCAATTCGACATCCGGATGAGCCGCACTCTCCGGCCTCGTCCCCTCCGCCTCCAATCCCCAGGCACGCTCCGCGACACGACTCCACGCACGGCAAGACCCCCATCCCGGGCACTGCGCAGCTCGTGCGGTGCACAGGAAGGCCAATTTGCCTCGATGTCGGGCACCTCTATCTATAGCCTCTCTTGCAATCCACCGCTGCTCACTGTGTGAGACTCGGAAGGTCCACGTCCATCCTTGCTTCCGCTCACGTTGTTCAAGCTGGATATCTTCATCATATCCCATTCGGTTCGGGCCTCCGGGCACCTAGGCTTTCCGCCCCCCTCTGGTAGTGCATGTGTTCTGTGTGATACGAAACTTTTAGCCTGCATAGGTTACAATGTTGTACATAGTAGACTGGCAGTTCCAGTTGTGGGACCGCGTCAGTATAATTAGTACCTCCTCCTCCTCCTGATCCCGAGCATATTTATTTATATACAGCTGCACCTTGTTTATGGCAAATAGCAGTGCATGTACTGTCTGGTTTCATTGCTGATTCACTTACCGCGAAAAAATGCATCGGGGACGATGCTGGGCCGAAATCAATCCACAGAGACAACCAAACGCAAAAAGTTGGACGCACAGGGGTTTGAACCCTGGACCGCATACATTGTTTTAGGTGAATTGGAGCACCGAAGCTGCAAAGCATGAGTGATACCACTACACCATACGCCCATGAAATCATGCACGCATGACGGGAATTCCAATGAGTACGAGGAGCGAGGTGAAGATGGGAGATGTTGTTAAACCTCCATTTCTCGGAGCATTGAACCGGCTTTACGACGGCGACCCCGCCTTGTAAAATGCCGTTCAATTCTCTCAATTCTTCGGTGACCGGTGTTAATGGGTTCTGCAATGTTTCTAGCCGGCACACTTGAAGTTGATGGGATACATGATCGATCCAAAAATGGTCTCATTCTCAGACGACGACGACCGTGGATGTGTCGAGTGCTTCCGGCCAACGGCCACCAAGTCCTGGACCCGCACACTTGACCAGCCTTGATGTCTATCCTCCAATTGACTTAGTGCACCCCCTGTTCTGCCCTGTTCGGCGAGTAGAAGGCCGCTCACTCGCAGGCAACTCTTCTACGCCACCAACCCACATGAAATCCTCGGAGACCGATCGGGGACGGTTCACAACCGTCACAAAACAGTTCAGGTCCGGCTGTTTCGGGCTTCAGAGCTTCATTCAATACACCGCGCACACGGGTGACGGGACGGCGGCGGAATGTAGTAACTAGCTTCGGTCGTTCGGAACTTGCGACTTGAAGCCGGAGCGAACCAGGCGCAAGAGGACTGAAGAACTTTCCTCTGGTCGAGTGGAGCACGGATATAGCGACGAACAAATGGTCCCGACTTTTGGACAGCGATCAAATTGAAATACTCCGACGCCAAGGTGGGCTTCAACGTGCGCGCGTGTGGTGCGGGCATCGGGCCGAGATCCCAACTGATGATGATTATCGGCTTGCCACAGTTTAAATTTGATGCTGTACATCTCTGTGCATCCCTTCCTCGGACCACCATGAGCGACAACGACCACAAGAGCACGAACGAAAAGGTTCACGACAACGAAAAGGTCCAAGATAATACCGCCGTCGACGACACTAAACCCGATGACCGCAGCGACCAACTCTTGCTGGACCGCGCTCACCTCGAGGGAATAAAGCCTATCTTCCTCGCCAAGTGTGTCCATTGCCGACGTTAGCAAAAACACCGATAACCTGGCTTTTCCTCTAGGGTCAAAGTCCTCAACACGGCCATCGCAGACTGCGGGATGGGTCGGTACGTGCTCAATGCTCTCTCCTATCCAAAAATATTTTCTTCTAAGGCACGGAATCAGATACCAGGTGTGTTTGTTGGTCCACGCTGTTGTGGAGCGCGGGCGGTGGAGCATGGCGCCCAGAGCTGTTCGTCGTCACCGAGCATCTGACCCCATTGGGCGTATCCCCGCTGCGCTCTACCGCCATCACGATCTTGTCACTAATCAGTAACGCAGTGGGAGCTGTTCCTTAGCGCTGGTGAGTTTTATTCTTTCCTTGGTTTATTTCACCATCTAATTCATGTTCACTAGGATTCGGGTTCGTGGATTTCCCTCCTTTTTGTTGCAGATCGTGATACGTTGTGCCCAGTTGGTTTGCAGATAGTGAGTGATCTCCTTCCGTGTTCTGATGGACTCGTATTGACACACATCAAGATATATGGCTTCAAGCCATCGCCATTCTGATGCCTGCCATCGCCAACCAGGTCCGTTCATACGTTGGGTTGCAGTTAAAAAATTCAACTATCCTCAGCACAACTTCCCCGACTACTCGAGCAACGTCCGGATGGCAACCTTTGGGCTTTACTGTGGCTTGATCGCTGGTGTGAGTGGTCTGCCTCGCTTGCAGTCATCTGTCCTCATGCGGTGCGATGCAGGCCACCTTCTGGGGCATGACATGCGACGTCATCGGGAGACGAACGGCATGGAATGCGACCTTGTTCCTTTCTGGAATATTTGGTATTGCGTGCGTACGATTCGTCCTTGTTTTTTTTCGCATGTTTATATCTCCCCAGTGCCGGCGCGTCCCCGAATTTTGTCACGCTTTGTGGTGCGTCTGTTCAACTTTCAACCGTGACGTGACTGACTGCCATCGATTCTCAAGCTATGCTCGCCTGCATCGGTTTTGGTGTCGGAGGTATGCTCTCCAGCCGCCGTTTGTTTCCACCGTCTGATTCGCGAAAACAGGCAACCTCCCCGTCGACGGCGCATTGTTCCTCGAGTTCCTTCCTGGGAAGGATCAGTACCTGCTAACACTGCTCTCCCTTTGGTGGGCCATCGGCCAGGTCGTCGCCTCGCTCATCTCTTGGGTCTTCCTAGCCAAGTGCGTTCAACGGACTCTTCCCGGTATGATTACTCACCTGAACCTCGCGACCCAGGTACTCGTGCGACACGGACCTGGTGGGTAAGCAGGTGCGGGAAGACGGGAGCCTGTACCAGTGCGACAACTCGAATAACAACGGGTGGCGGTGTGCGTTCCCTTCTTCAGTTTTTCAGGAGTCCGCTCATAAGAGGATGGTTGCTCCAGACTCGTATTACACCATGGGCTCGATGATGGTCTTCCTCGCCATCCTGCGGATCTTTATTTTCCCCATGGACGAGTCGCCCAAGTTCCTCGTCAGTGCGTACCCTTCTCTCTTCTTTCAACATCGTTGTTTTATTTATATAATCTCCGCAGGCATTGGCCGGGACAAGGAAGCCGTGGAGGTCATCCACCGCATCGCCAAGAAGAACAAGACGACCGTTAACCTGACAGTCGAGCACTTGCGTGAGGCTGCCGCGCCGTACGTCGACCCTAACGCACCCGAGGAGATCGCGTCTACCGTGCACTTCTCCACCTGGGGTCTTATCCGGAACAGCTTGTGAGTTCTCATAACCCGATTCGGCGTTGCAGTTCGAACTTCAACCACGCCTTCCAGGGATGACATCAATGGCGAGAACATCAAGGGACTGTTCTGCACCCCGCGTCTGGCCTATTCGTCCAGCCTTATCATCTTTATCTGTGCGTTCATCTCTCCTGCTTCTCGTCTCTTCCATAATTAACGCTATCTAGACGCCGCCCTCGGACTCGCGTACCCGCTGTTCAACGCGTTCTTGGGAAGTTATTTGTCAAGCCGTGAAAGCGATACCGGTGCCGTCGGCATCGACGCAACGTATTGTGAGTTTTCAACCTCCCCATTGTCGAACCGCAAAACTGATTTCGCAATTGTGCAGCGGCGTACACTTACCAAGCTGTGTGCGGTGTCGGTGGATCGATCCTCGCCGCTATCATGGTGCAGTGGTCGCGCGCAGGCCGGAAGTTCTCCATGGCGTCCGTCCCTCCTCCTTCTCGGTCTACGATGCTGAGCACTAACAAACGAATAGCTTCTTCACAATTATGTCCGGTGTCTTCCTCTTGGCCCTCACGCAGGCCAAGACGTCTGTGCAGGTCAACGCGCTCGTCTCTATCGCCTCCTTCTGGGAGAACGCGTTCTACGGCGTGCTGTACGGCTACGCGCCCGAGGTGTTCCCCACCCCGCGTCGCGGGACGGGCGACGCGTTCGCGGCAGCAGCGAACCGAATCACCGGGCTCTTCGCGCCGATTATTGCGGTCTACAGCAATGCTGGGAGAACACCTAATGGGTGCGTTTCCTCTTGTTTTGCACTTTCCGTCCTCGAGAATTGACTGGTTGATTTCTTCCAGACCTGTGTTCGCGAGCGCGGGAATTTTCGTCTTCACCGGCCTCGTCATGCTCGGCCTGCCGATCGAGACAGTTGGCGTCACCGCGCTGTGATCCCATCGTGAATCGTTCGGTTTGGTTGCTCCTCGTTGACCGTGTTAAAAGACGCGAAGTTCAACTGATTGACTGCGTGTTCGCGCAAAGACGGGAACACTGAACGGCGGGATACCTAATGTTTTAAAGTAGAAGAAGAAAAGTTACCATAGAGTATAACTAGTAGTTAGTTACGCAGAGTCATGAATATCTATAACGGCCACTTATGGCTAAACTCATAAGAGTCTGTTCGGGTGTAGCGACACAGACATATGTCTGTGGACTTTTTCCTTATTTAGTGGTATCTCCGAATGCGTGTGAATATGTCACACTTGTGACTTGACGTGTCTTTTTTCAATCACTTCTCATCCGTCTTCACGTCTTCGCGGCGCCAACGCGTACACAAACCAACGGCACTTTTGATGCCGCGCACTGAACAGCCTCTCCCGGAGAAGGGCCGGGCGTCCTGGACCGCCGCGGACATTCTGGCGCTCATCAATTTTCTCATCGAGCAAAAGTCGAAGGCGGGGGACAATGGTCAATTTAAAGGGACTGAATACCGGGCGGCCAGAGACCTAGTCAACAAGACTCGCACCACGGGTGGCCCGAAAACGGAGAAGTCTTGCCGGACAAAATACCTCGCGGTGCGTCGCAAATAATGCACGATACCTCTATTGCTTACCATTTTTTGCACGTCCCACAGCTCCGAAAAATGTGGCAGCTCGTAGACCTCATTATCAACACATCGGGCTGGACGTGGGACACCAAAACCGGAGTCACCGTCAATGAAGCGACACAGGGCGCGTGGGACGCCTTCGTCAGGCAGTACCCCGAGGCTGAGCAGTTCGAAAACAAGGGCTGGCCATACCACGAGGCCCTGGCACCTCTTATGCCCACAAAGGCGAAGGGGAGCTATGTGTACCGTCCCAATGCCACGCCCTCCGTCACGACGAGGTCGTCGTCCCCGACCTGGGATGACGACTTTAATCGCGTCTCCGACGACGACGACGACGATGACGGGAATGCAGCGGAGGGAAGCGGTGGTGGTGTAGGGGATGATAGCGAGGGCTTCGACGGCAGCGGAGGTCCTGTTCCCGAGGAAGAAGAGGACGAGGAAGAGAATGACAAAGACTCCGAGGTGCGTACACTGTCCCTCTTCGATTTGCTATACTCACCATAATACAGGCTGCTCCGGCAGCATCGACACAGTCTGGAAAACGCCGCGCAGCCCAGGCTGCTGGTCCCCGAGTCAAAAAACCCCGTCTTACCCCGGCCGCCCAAGGTCTTGCCAATCTTACCGCATCTGCGGAACGATTTAACGAGATTTTCGGGGACATCCGCGACCTGATAGCCGCTCCAGCATCTGCGCCGGTACCCGCCAGTTC